CCCTCTCCCAGGCCTAGCAGATAGGGTTGGACAAGAATAAGTGGAATGTTTTCTTATAAAAGCCATTTTGGGCAGTGCTGTGGTAGCAAGCACTATTTTGATATCTCTGCTTTATATAAGTAAAAGCAGTATTAAACAGATATAAGTAGCAATACAGCTGTTTTCTGGCACTTCTCTAGAAATCCCCCCAGGTTTGTCTAACTTTTTAAAGAAATTCAACAGAAGAATATCATATACACTTTTGAGTAGTCAACAGCACTTACTAAATTGTTTTCCCAGACCTGAATTCAGGCATCAGTGCTTCTCCTTTATCAAGAACCTCATCTGTATTTGGCTATGAAGAGGCAAGAGGAAGGAGGATGGAAACCCCCTGGGGGAAATTCCTAGCCCACAAGACTTCTACGTGCTCAGTCTTCTGCTGTCCACAGCCCTTCCTCAGAGCTTTGGAGATTACACATGGTGTGATAACAGCACATGAGTTTTCTATTTTGCTGCAAAGACACATACCCGTTTCTTTTGTATCCCAGGACTATGCAGGCAGCTGGATTGTTATTGCAGTAATAATGCAATTTACCTAATCATACCAAGATGCTTACTGTGCAGAAACCTTACCTGTGTGACTACAGCATAGGACAGTATTACCAGTGAGAAATACAACTGACCAACTTCTGGAACTCTAAGAGATTTATTCATGTGAAAACATCAACCATTTTCCATTATTCTTTGTTGACACTATGAAGAAAACATGTCTTACTTATGCTGTCATAAGGGACAAAGTGATGACAAATAACAAAATCCATAAAACACAAAACATCATTGACACATGATTTGAACAAGGCTATTTCTTTACACAGAGGAAGATCAGAAGTCAAAGACTTGCTGTCAGGAAGATCAGAAGCAAAGATGCCATTGCTATCTGAGTTACTAGAAATATTGGCCCACATTTCTGCTTGTCATTGTACAGGTAAACAAATGTATGCTCCTATACTTCTGCACTACTGAGATCAACAGAAGTTCCTCAGAAGTGCAGTAGCTATCATGAACATCAACACTGGGAGAGGTCAAAACGCAGATGAAAAGTCAGGATTTCTTCCAACCAATAGCAATAACAAAGATAGCTGGACTTGGCTGACAGTGGATATCACACCACTGTCAGGACAGCAGAGAGGTCTCTTTCACAGAGGTGAGGAAGAGCTGGCTCTGTGGCACATGGTAGCCCCAGGACACACAGCACTGTAGGGAACTGGGCCTGAAAAATGCACAGATCCTACCTGTTCCTCCTGCACCCACATCCCTGCATTGTCCTTCCCTTCCAACAAATGAGTTTTCAAAGAAGAAATTAGTACATGAGAAATCCAGGCCAAATGTATAAAGTTTGGCCCTTATTTTCATTGAGGCACCCTACCATTTAGCATGAGCCACTGCTTACAAGTCTTCGTCCAGTTTACAGTCTTAAGAGCTCAATCATAGGCTAAACCAATTTCGAATAATACTTTCAAGGTCAAAGCCTTTTGTAATAACTCTGCTACAGTATGCCTACTTGTCTGAATGCTGGTGGTGCCTACATATTTTTCCCTCTTCTCTGATAGATAATTCCTTAATTTTCACAACACAGGCTTAGCGAAGTGGTACAGGACCATGAAGGAGGAGAGTTATAACCATGATGTGTTTAGGAAACTGATGTGACAAAACCTCATCTGATGCCTCCTCTGCTCAAGAGATACTCGGAGCCTATGAACAGAAGAAAAGTAAGTCCTCTTCTGCTCCAATCTGTTTCACCTGAAAAAGCTACCTGACTTACCTTATTTTGCAAAGACATGAGCAAAAGGTTCATCTTTCTCGCTAGTTACATGCAAGGTCACACAAAATTAGAAAGTCATCAAAACAAAAGCACACCTAAGGTGAATTTCACCATAGGGTTTTTTTCCTATTACAAGAAGAAGGCTGATTTCCCTGAAATGAGAAAACCAGTCTATTCTAAACAGCAGCTGTAAAGAGCTGTCACCAGAATTGTACTGTTGTGCCATTCAGAATGTCAGACAGCAAAATCAAAACCTTCCACAAAATAACTGCATTGGCAGAGAAACTGTGTAATGCTCTGCTTGGAAATGATAGCCTCTTGCAACTTAACGTATTAACCCAGAGAGAGCATAAACAATTCTTGGTCTAGTTGTTGGTGGCAGATGGGAGAGTAACATGTGAGCTGAAAAAATATGTTGATTACAGAATCTGAAAGACAGGTATGAGATAAAAAAACCAAGAGAACAAGAAACAAACTTGAATTAACTCTGTCATATCTAAAAAGAGTAACTCTTGATCAATTTGCATTCCTTCTAATTGTCTACTGCAGTGCAATTGTAGGATATCTTAAATAACATGCTGGTTAAATTCCTGTGGGAGGTGGTCCCCTCTCTGTGACCACAAGACATTTAACTAACAAATGTCAGTAATGCACTTCATTAAAGCTAATGACTACAGTATAGTGGAGAAGAGGGATTACATATGGGGAACTACATTCTATGCATTCCTCTACAAATGTGGGAATAGCCAGCTCTGTCCTAAAGTACTAACCGACTGCACTTGCTGAGACAAAGGGGGCTTCTAAGCATGGGAGGACTGAAGCATTTATGAAGAGACAACCAATAATGGCATGATTGTGATTGTAAAGATAAGGGAGATGCTTCTGTACTCTAACTTAACTTCCAGCAAGCACGTTTGCACACTTATTACACAATTAATTTTTACTTTCCACAATATCTACGCCAGTAAACGTAATTACTCAAATGCCTGTAGGAAGCAAATGCCCAGCAGGCATGAGCATGTTCTAATGTCATTCTCTTGCAAGTTTTGAAAAACTGTCAAAAGAGCCACAAAGAATCCCGAAGAGTTTTCTGTATTTTCTAATACAGGGATTATCCCACTGACTTCTGCTCCTCAATATTTTCATGTGGCTCTCTCTGAAGTAGAAGGGAGTGAAGAGCACACCTCAAGATAGACAGAGGTCCAGAGTGACCTTGACAAGCTCAAGAAGTGGGCCCGAGTGAACCTCATGAGGTTCAATAAGGCCAAGGGCAAGGTCCTGAAACTCAGTTGGGCAGACTGACAGACAAAAAGCTGAACATGAACCAGCAGTGTGACTTCACAGCCCAGAAAGCACATCGTATGCTGAGCTGCATCAAAAGGAGCGTGGCCAGCGGGTCGAAGGAGGTGATCTTGCCCCTCTACTCCACTCTCATGAGACCCCCACCTGGAGTACTGCGTTCAGCTCTGGGGTCCCCAGTACAAGCCAGACATGGACCTTTTGAAACAGGTCCACAGGAAGGCCATGAATATAAGAGGGCTGGAACTCCTCTGATCAGGAAAGGCTGAGAGAGTTGCTGTTGATCAGCCTGAAGAAGAAAAGGTTCCAGGAGGGCCTCATTGTGGCCTTTCAGTACTTAAAGAAGGCTTATAAAAAAAGATGGGAAAAGACTTTTTAAGCAGGGCCTGTTGCAAGAGGATGAGAGGTAATGGTTTTAAACTAAAAGAGAGGAGATTTAAACTAGGAAGAAATCTTTTACAATAAGGATGGTGAAACACTGGAACAGATTGCTCAGAGAAGCTGTGAATGCCCCATCCCTGGAAATATCTGAGGTCAGGTTGGATGGGGCTCTGAGCAACCTGATTCAGTTGAAGATGGTGCTGCTCATTGCAGGGGGATTGGACTAGATGACTTTTAAAGGTCCCTCCCAACCCAAATTATTCTATGATTCTATATGCATATACTCTATTGTCTGGTATGGTATTACCTCCATGTAGGTATATGCATCTGCTACTGGAACAGCCAGTAAGCAGTTCAGACTGCCAGAAAATATTGCAGTGCCCTTAGTGATCCAGTTCCTTCCATGAATGTCCTGTAAAATTATTTTCATTTTGATGAAACATTTTTTGAGGGAGTAGGGGAGCTGTGGTGGGGCTTGAAGACGTTGATCGTATCCATCTCACAACAAACTGATAGATTGCTGTAAATGGCAAGTTTGATTTCACTGGTTTTGGTAGGAGTTTTCTGGAGATCATAAAAAGCTGCTGAATGTGCAAGCTGATGTCTTTCACATTTGCTCTCTTCCACACAACTATTTTCTCAGACTGGATAACTTTTTCTGTTTAACTTTGATTAGAAAAAACTGTTCAGGTGGAATCACTGTGTATGTGGTACCACACGGTACCTCTGCTCATAGCCAAAGGTAAGAAGTCAGTGGTCCCTTGTTATTCCTTAAATAAGTATACAACTGGAAAGAAACAACAGGAAACACAGATTTGTAGATTGCACAACAGCTTGATCTTCAGCCTACAGGAAACTCTGGAACCTTCCACACTGCCTTCAGTGAGGTTTAGATCACTTCCACAGAAACCTCAGTACAGTTCTACAATGTGCATATTTCCTGCATCAGGATTCTGATAACTGAGCTTCTCCGTCTCAATTAAACTCCTGTCCCTCAGGAGTTCAATGTTTTATGCTGAAAATTAACTTGCTTTCAGCACCACTGTCTTTAGGAAACTTTGGTAGGATTCCTCTTATTTGATGCAGATGTCTTCACTGTCTGTCTGAACTAGCGATACTTGGTTTCCTCCAGAGGCAATAAAATCCAGAGTGCAAAAGCCACTTCTAAGGCATGATCTACCCAAGCTACATAAATGTGTGCTTTTGGATGTCAGAAAGTTTAAGAAAAGCCTTTCTCTCTCAACTGAATATCAAGACATGCTAGCATGAGCAGGTCTGATTTAGATTATCTACCCTGTAGACATCAGCCTGTGATCAGATGATCCCACCCCAGGTGGCCTGAATTGGACACAGAATACAAACAACTTTACCATTTTTACTTAGTTACTATGTTCAAGCCAGAATGAAATAGAAGACATTGTCTGTGGAATAAACAAGCTAGTGTTTTTTTCCTTTTATTGCTGAGATATGAAGTCAGTGGCTTAGCAATCTAAACAGAGATGGTTTATCAAGCCCTTACCTTTGGGGATAGTAATCTGACAGCCCAGGTCACAGTCCTGCTGCAACTGATAAAAAGCCACTTCCTGCAGCCGAGCACGCTCCAGCTCTGAGAGGCTTTGAACGGGAACTGACTTCAGCCGAACACTGCGCCCTGACATGCTGTTCCAAGTGAAATCACCCTACAGGAAATCGAATGGAAAAATATAATGCATCATATGGTATGCACAGTTTAATAAACAGAACCATCTCTTTCACTGCTAGGAAAAACAACACAGGCCCTTTTTTCTTAAAGGCCATTTTCTTGGACATCTCTAACCTTTCAAATCTTTGTTTTCTTAAAAGCAGAATTCCTTTAGAGGAGTACGGACAGGCAAAACAAAAAGTCAATTCTGTCTGAAACCATTTAACCAAGTATTGTTGAAAAAACATTAGGATTCCAGTAACCAAAAGCACAAAGCAGGAAAAAAAACCCTTGTCAACTTTTCCCAGTTTGCACTCTTTGTGCAGTACTCAGTCATCACTCCTTTCCCCACACAGTCAGACATGCAGAGTTCCACTGTCCAGGTCCACAGACAATCCACATCTTATCTCGCTCAACTTGCTAATCCCACTCCACAAAAACTTACTCAGAGAGTACACGGACAGACCTCCTTCTCTTTTCTGACATATCCTATCTCCTTATCCCATCCCCTCCTTATGCCTCTACAGTGTTTAGAACAAGACTGATGAAAAGACAAGCTATTTCATGTTCTTGAAAAGCCTAGTAACAATGTACGTGTTAAAATTTATACAGGAAAACATCATGACATATGGTACATCTCTGTAAAGCACCAATTATGCTTGGAAAGCAAATCAAAACCTTTAGCTGTTCTATCTCCCACCTTTGATAACATATACAAAAAGGCACACTCTTAGTATTTAGCTTGGGCGAGTGAAGTAATCATCAAAGAGAAATGCAACCACACAGACAAGCTTGAAGGATGGCAATTAACTTCAAGATTTTCAGAATTAGTCAGAACATCAAAGAACACATTTTAGCACTACAGAGAAAGAAAGAAGAATTTGTTTTTCATTCTGTGTTAAAAAATAAACAACAAACTTGTCAGTAGGTATAATCTGGTAAACCTGTAGATAATGGAACAACTCCGATGTATATCAGCTGAGTTGTAAAGACAAATCCACCAACATGTCCTTCTTCACAACATGACAGACTTACAATTAACTAACTTCACTCTCAAGTTCTCATTTACAGTTTCAAACTTCAATATCTGCACCTTGACTGCCTGGGTCTTTTTTTCACCATTCACTTACAATTCACTTGTTCTGCACAAACATGTGCAGTCAAAGGGCATCCATTGACTTTAAAAGACATTGTATGAAGCTCCTTATTACTAAAAATCAGTAAAATTTGACTTAATTTATCAGCTATACATCCTATTGTATGTAAACATCTTTGCACATTTCCATATATTTTGCATATATGTGTATGCATACATACAAGCACACACATACAACCTCTATACACATACATACATGTATATATGCACACCTATGACTACGTGTGTATTCACATATGCATACAAAACAAAAAGCATTTACAAATATGCAACAATATATATCTATCTAGCAATAAATATATATATATCTAGCAATATAAATCAGAGGAATTACATATTAAAAGGGTTTCTTATAATGCATGAAGTATGTTTGAGCTCATCAAGGAAGTTTTTTTCCTAGTAGTTTTTGTAAGTCATTAGGCAACCATAACAGATAAAGCCTTTACTTCAATGTGAACAACTGCACATCTGTACACTCAGTGCACATACTATGCTCAATATCTTTGATATTTATGTCTACATGGGCCACATACGCAAACTTCTGCACTAGCCCAGTATTAACTACAGGAATTTGTTCCTTTGTTTTTTGCCTCTTCACCTCTTCTTGCTCTTCTAGTGCCTTATTGTTGATTAACTAGATTTAGCAAGCTCAAACTGAAGGTTTGCATGGAGACTAAAAGCTGAGCTGATTAGTTTAACTCAAAATCAAAGCAGCAAGAATCACATAAACCCTATTTGCAAAACTGGAAGTAAACATTTACATTTTTAAAAAAGCTGCTGTCATTTATAGATAAAAATGATGGAGAACAGAATCCACAACCAGAGAATGTATACTAAGAAACCAATTTCTTTCCAACTATAATAATGCAAAAGAAACTTTACAAGTACAGAAGTATGCATTCCAATCCTCATAACATACAATGTAAAAAATGTTCCACAGTCAAAATGGTGGAGAGAGAGAAACATAGGTATTTATGTAGACTTTGGGGGTAATTTATCCAATCTATTTCTCCAAGATAAGTATTTTCATAAACAAAAGTATCACTGACATGTCTACCATAAAAATTTTCAAACATACTCAATTTTGAAACATGAATGGGAAGCAAAAAGGATATTCATTAGAAAATGTTGAGTTAACAGAATATTTATCCTGTTTAGGACATGGCAGGGGAATTGGAACTAGACGATCTTAAGTTCCTTTCCCACCCTAACCTTTCTATGATTCTATGTCCTGTTTTCCATAGAGCATAAAAGGGTGCATGGGGCTTTTAGGAATTATCACAAGTCAAATAAACATTCCTTAACTAAATTTTGCATGGAGACATGAATTATTGCTCTTTTGGGGAGATAAAAATTACCAAGGGCAAATCTAACTCTGGATGTAACTGCATTCTCAGCTTCATCTCTGAGTCAGCTCTGTAACTGCACTCTGGGAGCTGTACCACTGCCGTGCCCAGCTCAATCATTAGCCCTCCCAAACCAGCGTAACTCAGAGACATTGCTTGCTAGCTGTGGTACAGCCCTGTATTCGTATTCTGATTTGAGGACCCCAATAAACCTCTTTGCACAGAGCTATGCTCCTTTATATGAGCAGAGTAGCCGACTAAGCACTGGCTCAGTAATCGTACCCAGTCTTACTGGGTAGGATTTCTTAATTTTACCTTAATATGGAAGCACCCCATCTAATATTTTTATTATATTTTTTTTAATAGGAGGTTAAGGGTTTAAAACCAAGGGAAAGAAGAAAGCACCCAACAAGATTATAAGGGCTGGTCCTTCCAAACAGGTTGTTTGTTCTGGCAGTCTGCAAGCTCACATTATGTCCCCCTTAGCTCACCGAGTCAGGTCTGTCTGGCTAAAAGTGGTAGGATGCAAGCTCTGCACCTTCCAACACCACAACAGGTCACCACACAGCAATAAAGAAAGTACAATCACTCTGCCCAGTTGCTCTTCACTAAAAAAAAGGCATTCCTCTCTTACACGGGGTGGGTTTGATAAAATCTCTGCTAGGTCACATTAACATAGGGTTTTAGTACGCTAACAGAATGCATGACTAATTAATTAAAATATTTTTGGAAAATCATTTGTTAGAGCCAGTGCAATCTCCTAATCTGCTAAAGAAGTGAGAGGCTCAAGAAATGGAAAAGTCTGTTTTATTTGGCAAATAAATATCACTGTCTTCTAAGAGCCAAAACACAGTATTTGACAACTTAATCTATTCAGACTCCTATGCTTTGCAGGACACAAGATAAATCAAAAGTCTCATCTTCCTCCTAAAGCACTGTACAATTTTATATACAGCCTGTAAATTAAGGCAAAATTAACCAGGCTTGGGAGAGTCCAGAAAAGTCAAGCTTCCTTGGAGAATGAGTGCTGGGGCAATCACATGTCACATCTGCCTTAAGCTATTCTCCACTCTGTGAGGCAACCAAAGGAGGGAAGGGAAAGGAAAGGACAGGGCAGACACAGAGGATACTTTCTCTCCCCAGATGAGAAGGAACATTCTAACCTACTTCAGCTTCAACATCAGCCTGACACATCCCCTTGAAGAAGCTTAAGAAGAGCAGATGATCTTTAAGCACAGAGTGACTTGTTTTTAAAGTTCATGCCCTGCATATGTGTTCAGACATACATAGACAGGTTCTTCTTTATTATTTAGACTGTAGACCAGAATGTGATATGCAAATGGCTCCTTCATCACCAACAAGCTGGGGTGAGAGTGTAAAATGACCAGCCTGACAGGATGCAAACAGTTAACTGCAAGGGTGCTTTCAAAACTGATTTTTACAAAACCTTAACCAGACTAAAACCCTTCTCGTTTCTTCTTTTCCCTCACTATTCTCCAGCTTCAGCTCCATTTTCTCCCTGGCCCTCCCACCAACATCTAACATTTTTCCTCCACTCAACCAAGCAGTTCACTTACTGGGTAAGTAACTAAAATACCAGAGCAAATGACTCTGCAAAGCAGATGACTGATTAACTGCTCGTTGTGCCTTCAAAAAATCTGTCCACTCTTCCCATATTTCTTGTCCACAATAATAAGCACATTTTTAATAAGATGCAGAGAGCAGTTTTACTAATATTCTTTCAAGATTTTTTTTTTTTAAATCATTTTTTGGGATGTTTGGTGACTCCAAAGTAAACATTAAGTGGTACATCCTGACTTAAGTAAATTTATGTGCTTAAATTACTCTTATGCATGTGTAAGCTATTCTTGTGTACCTGACCTCTTTCTCCTGAGCCTCCAATACATAGTCCCTCACATATCTTTTAGTGAAGCCTCATTCTTCTTTCCTTTGTACAATATGGAAACCAGTTGACAAGTACTGCAAGGAATCCTGCATGCAGATGTAAATCTATGGTGACGATCGACCTCTGTTGAGGTTTGCAGAATTTTAAGCCTTTGTGAGTAATCAGGATCATGCACAGGGTGGGAACTAAGAACCCACACACGCAGCACTTTTAGACAATACAAATTTTAATGCAAGCTGGAAAAATCAATTTTTATATTACTGCATTATTGTTACTGTTTATGACTTTAGTCTGTACTCATTTAGGTAAATGCCATTATCAGATTAGCTGTCTACTTTTCATTAGTCTTTTGCTCAAATCCATTTGAAACACTGAGATCAAAACCAATCTCTACTCATTTGTCTCCTACCCTAGCAACACCCAGCTATGGGCTTTTATATTTAGATGGGTCTCCACTGTAAAAGAATTCAGTGGTTTTTGCACACAAAAAGATTTTATTGCAGATAGCATAGCAAATATAGCATCACGATGTCTAAATTCTGTTTGCTTCATTACTTCTTTAAGCTTCATGAACCACATACCATTGCCCA